GATACACACACAAAATTAAAATAATTAAAACTACGATTGTATTAAATAATTTATATTTCTTCACAATTGATATTATATAATTATTTCAAATAATTGTTAATACTACTTGTATGTGAAATAATAGTATTAAAGTATATAGTATTAATTGAAAAAAATACTTATACATATTAATAATGATTACGTGAATTATATTTGAAATAATACGATTATTAGTAAATCCTCACGAAAAAAAGAACATCTTAATATTACTTACTAGAAATAAATCGTAATTAGAAGGATTATTATTGTTTTAGTAATTGATTGCTAGTTTTTGATGAATTTTTAAATTATTAATGTTGATAAAATGAATGTAGCTCTATTAATCTTGTTAATTTTAATTATTTTCTAATAATTGGAGGCACGTAACAACTCAAAATAATTACTATGATAATTAAATTGTTATAATTTATTTCTAACACTAGTAACTTAAATCGCACCTCCTTGGGACACCCAGTATGTCCTGGCGTTATCTTCGAGATACTCCGCTTCCGTTCAATCATAATCTGTTTCCTTAAACGAGGCCCATGTATTGCGCCTCTGCATTTACTTGTTGTCGCCATACTTATATTATTGCTTAAGTATTTTTTTTTTCCTTAGTTATTAATACTATTTAAAAGTGTGTATATGCAAACATAAGTGCGTGTATGTTGTGTATGAATGCGTGTAAAGACTTCAGCAATGTAACGAAACGGTCGCGTTCTAAATATGAGTGTGAGTTAGCGGCTGTTCGATTTTCGCTTTAATAAATACTGTTCTTTTACTGAAGAAATAAAATCGTGCCGCTCTTAATTTAAATAGGTTGTCTAGAACGCGGAAAATGTGTAATAAAACAACGTATCATTTAAATACACTCTTTTGTAATTGTATGTACGTATATATAGTATACATACTTATATAGTGTCACATAAGGATTATTCCGTATTTATTTCTACGATCGCGTTTAACGGCGCTTTTTCCATTAGGGATCAATCTTTCAAATGGACGTTGATACGTCACTTTTGTCTTCTTCAATTTTATATAAGCAATGCGTCGTCAATTACTAATTAATTATTAATTACTTGTTAACGGTATGTCTCTGATCAATTATCATGGACTTTGAAACTGTTGAACGTTTTTAAGTTGAACTTTTGTAATTACTAATGTCTAAACAATTTTATTGCTTGTTAAATAATTATGGTATTTTGCATTGTGATCAGAAAAAAATAGATTATTCCGTAAAAGTTTAGGGTGAGAAAATCCGGAATACTTAAGAGTACTAAGCGGTTTTTATATCCCGTTTATATCACTTTATATCAATAATAATTAATATACACAGTTTATCAATGAGATATATTGATATTTTTTAATAGTAGGTATTAAATATTAGCATGTATTGTTTAATCAATGTTTTTTTTGATTAAAATTGATGTTGAATATAAATTCGAATGTTAATAATGTTCTAATGTTGAATAATAAGGAATAATGATTAATGATCTTATATGAATAATATTTATAATATTACTATGAAAAGATGTAATTTATAGTAGCAATAGACTTGAGAATACTTTTCTCATATCAATACCATATCGTCTTGTTCTCTGCAATTAAGATTATAATAAATATTTCGTTGCAATAGACCAACTACTGTATCAATTTAGCCGAAAGGAAAGAATGAAATTGATCAGAGACAGGCCATACATCGCAGCTAGTTACTTTGTATAAGAGATATCTCTTTGTAATTTATACTTATTCACTCCAAATTTGCTCAAGGCAATCCTTTTACGCACCGAGTCATACATTGAGAGACTTCTATTCTCCGCTCCCCTGTGTTTCCCACAGAATCAGTCAAATGTTCACGAAATATTCGAAAATAAGTCCTTCAATCGTCGAGCCATACTCGCGATTCGACTCGAATCGAGTCGCTGTACATTTTGCGACAGATCTAATGACATTCCACATCGGATAAGAATAAAGCCCGAGCCGTGATTCCCGCACGAGAGGGATCCCGAGCGCGCAAGTGGTTGCGAAACGCTCTGTTGAGAAAAGAAAAAAAGAGAGAGAGAAGAGAAGGAGAGAAAGAGAGAACAGAAAGCCCACACTAGCATGGGAACGAGCGTACTTATTTATAATAACGTTGAACAATTTTTCGCGCTCCGTTTTGAACATTTTGAAACGCCTCGTCGCGAATTGTCAAAAATGTTGAACTTCGGGGCGTATCGTGTAAATATACTTATGTACTGAAATATGATGAATAATGACTGTAACCGGTGAGATAATTAATATGTATGTACGTGTGTGTGCGTTGCGTGTGTGCGAACCGTGTGAATCGCGGAACGACAGGAAGCGATTACAGTGTCATAACGTTACTCCACGAGAGGCATCAATTTTGAATTTTTATGATCATAGATCCTTATAGAAGTCCTCCATTAATCCGCATTACTTGGTGACCGCGACGCGACACTTGTTTTTGTTGTTACACTCACAACGAATTGCGGGAATGAATCGTCCGTGTTTCTTATAAGAATTGTAATATGGTATCAGTTGCTATCAGTGAAACGTCAGTGGAACGATCCTCCTGCACTTCGATTATCCGTAGTGAAATCTTTTGCTTTTTTTTCCTCCTTTCGAAACACTTCTTTAATCATACGCTAAGAATTTTTTTGTTTAGATTTTGAGGTTTGAGGATTTCTCTCACGTGTTAGACATAGATGCTTCTTGGATATTTGAAATCTAAAGAAATCGAAACTTCTCATTTTTAGATCTATCACTTTTCCTGGAATTTATGATCTTTGTATTTTTAAATCTTCAGATTTATTTTAAACTTTTGAAATTTTGATTCCTGGAACGAAATGTAATTCTGTGTTCTTGAAACAGAATTATTTTTTTCTGAGTTTATCGGTCCTTTCTGTTCTTGGAATTTTGTATTTTCAAAACTCTTAGGATTCTACAAACTTCGGATCCTTGAATCTCAGAACTATAAATTTGTGGTATTTTACTTTCAAGTTATTTTAAAACCGAATCCTTTATCTTGAGACGTTTAATCTCTTGTATTTTAAAATATTTTAGTTGATCACTTGATTGCTATCCGATTGCTTTAGCTTAAAAACAGTTAACAGCTGTTACGTTTAGATCGTTGCATCCTTTCTACTGTTCGATTTTTTGAATCCTCAAGTCCTAAATATATTTCCGTTCCTTAAAGACCTTTCACAAAACTGACTGAATTATCATAAGTTATATAGCCAATTTTCAACGAATCACTTAGCCACGTAAATACGAGAAGCGCCTCGCACACGATCTGATTAATCGCAGAAATCCAGTAGAGATTTTTAAACGAATCTCACGCCATTTCTTCTTAATCGTCAAAATTAAGAACCACTCAGAATCAGTGGCAAAAATAAATACAATTTTATATGATTTGGCGAGAAGTAATGACTGAGGTTTTTTTTATGAACACTATTTTTTCGCACAGATTTTTATAAATTTGTATTTCATTAAATTTACTACGACTCTAGTGGTTTCTTAATTTTGTTAGAAATTTATTTAAACTTGCGTGTTAGAACAGTAAATACAATTTAGCGTGAATAGTCGCGAGTGGCAAACATGTTTAATTTTACATCATAAATATCTTAAGCTTCAAAATATATTGATAACATTTTTTCTCAAAAACGTTATCAAGCACTTTTTCTACTCGCTTTTGTCAGATCGCGTGTGATTTGAGTCATGTACACATTGATTTGGGATTGTTGTTCACAAGGGTGATGATTGAAACGATAGAGAGATAAATAAAAATGATCATGGAGGTACATGCGGAACGGCAGCTTTTTAATATGTCTACGAAAAGTATTGTCAAACAAATACTCTTGAACGTTTTAATTAAAGGTAATTCGTACAGTACATAAAATTTGACTTTTATTCTTTATGTTTAATGTTTAATTTAAATATTTAAGGTTACCAAATAATTCGACAATTATCTTTTGCTTAAAGAATATCTATATTTGTAAAAAAAAAAAAACTAATAAAAAATCAAACACAGTTAATGAGAGTACTTCACGGTTAACGGTGCACAAAAAATAGTAAAGAAAACTTATGTTAAAATTTTTACTTGAACCTTGATAATATTATCATTATCAAATCTTTTATAATTTATGTGCATCCATTTATGTTACAGTTATTAATATCTGCAATACCATGGTATTTCTACCATGTGCAATACTATGTGCAATACGTTCTCTTTGTGGTTGCTTAGATATATTTGTTTGATCGATATTTTACACAGCGATGTATAATGTTTTATTGAACAAGAACAGAAGTTGTACCGATTCAAATCAATTGTTTGTGATAATCTAAAGTCGGATTATGGTGATAATTATAAAAGATTATCAATGGCGACAGACGGATAAAAGAATAATAATTTACGTGCCTTTGAAAGGTCGCCCTAAAAATGTGGATTTATTCGTTATGGATAATTACGTAAAGGTACTTGGAATTTTCTAAACATTTATAATGACATCTTTAAACTTAAATAAATAGGATATTTTTACCTTTTTTTTTCTTTAAAGTTAAAATCTTTCTCTAAATGTAATTTTTTAATTTAATTATATTTTTTATTATATTAATTGATTAATTGATATGTTTAAAATACAACACTTAACCAAATTTTTGAGGAAAATTTTTTTATTAAAAATTCCTGTTTTCTTTGTATTACACTTATATCTGAACATATCTAATATAGGTATATAAGAGGACTTAATATTCGAAAATTATTAATTTTAATGACTTTTGAAAGCACCACACAATTTTTAATTAAGAAACTTGATATATTACGTGTGAAAACAATCTCGCAGTGATGTAATTAATTTTTATTAAAGATTAGTTTTTCACCCTTTATTTTGGAATTATTTCTGTGGGAAAACGTACTTGAAGAAGAAAGTAAATGTACTTTGACAGACATCGAAGCTATTTTTTCTTTGCAAAAAGCGAGCATGGCTGTGAATTGGCCAAATCTTGAAGCAAAAAATATTAGTAAAAACGAAAAATATCATACTAGAAACCAAATTTTAGAGAAGGCACAAAAGATTTTAGAAAATCGTGCAAAATATAAGAAAGGTAAGGATTATTTTTAATAATATGAATAGAGAAAAAGACTGCTGTTTTAGATTGAACGGAATAATTAATATACATATTAAAAATTGATACTCGCCGCTATTTTACAGAGAAACTTCAAAATCTGCAAAAAGAAGCGGTAAAAATGCAAATCAATTTGGATACTGTTACACTAAATAAAATAGAAGCTTTGAGAGACAGCCATCGGAAAATTGCGATGCAAGATTTCGAAGAATGGCGATTAAATGCGGAAATGCCATTCCTTCAGAATATTTCTGGCAAAGTGCAAAAGAATAGAAAGGCATATAGGTATTATTTTAAAGAGAAATATAAATTTTTTTTAGAATATTGTATGTAACGATTAAAGATATCTTGAGAATTATAATAAAAGAAAAGTAGTTTTGAAAAAGCATAATTCTGTAGAAATTAGTTATTTCATATATAATTGATATATTTTTCTAAAAGGCCTCCACTTCAATGGTTCAAAGACGATCTTGGTATCATACAATCTCGAGAAATTGACAAGAAAGAAGTTCAAATAAAAGAAAAACAACAAGATAAATCAATAGTTATAGAAGAATTAGAGGAAGAACTAATTGTTGAAAAGAAATCTGAGAAAGTTTCAACTGTTGAAGAAAACATAAACAAAGACTTAATTGTTAACGAATCAATAGATCAAACGAATTTAAAAGAAGATACAACCTTCAATGAAAATACTGAGAAAGAGACAGACGTAGAAATAAAGAAGACAACAAACCTAAGCAAGAATTTTAATTTTACAAAATGTTTTAGTTATTCCGAGGACTCCGAATCAGATAAAGAAGTCACATCCTTTAAATCTTCTTTAGTTAAAAAAATTAATCAGAAATACTCGCAAAAATTTTGTACAAAGACGAAGAAACAAAGGCCAGATCGGAATTTAATTGACAGGATACTGAAGGATCGATATTCCCAAATAAATCAAATATTTGATGAACCTACGAGGGCAGTTCCACTCCCTAGAAGAAGTGGAACGATTAACGTAACTTTTTCTGAACGAGCCTTCCCTACTCCAGCAAGAGAGAGTGTCTTCATTGAAGAACAGGAAGTATGTTTGAACAGAGACCTTTAATATAAATTTTATGATAAATTTCTTTATACTAGATGTACGAAACTTATGGAAACTTTTTCATGAGAAAGAGAATCTTTGATGTTTAACAAAAATTTGTTAGAAATTCATTTTATGCTCGAAAGAACTCTATAAGAAATTAATTTTTTTTTAGCAACAGTTTAAATTTGAAGTTTTGATTTAATTGTGTACAGGTTTTGATATAGATATATATTTTAAATGCAGTTTGTTTTAGTGGCTTTCCAAGCAAGCAGAAGCCAGAAGAAAAACAGGGTTTATTGCCGAGGACCTTCGTCCTGAAGAACAGGATCCACAATGGTTGAAAGATAAGGGCGAGTACGTTAACAGAAGTTTGCCGCAAATATTTTTTAATTTTTAAATTAAATTAAATTAAATTATTTTCTATTTTAGTGACTTTTTCAAAGCGGGAAATTATTTAGCTGCCATCAATGCATATACACATGGAATCAAAATCAGCGACAAGATGGCGGCACTTTATGTGAACAGATCTGCTGCGCATTATGCTCTTGGAAATTATTATAGATGTATTGATGATTGTTCTAAGGTAATAAAAATTACAATCAATGTACTATATACAAAATATTATTTTAAGTTAAAAAAAAATTTAAAAAGTTGTACAGAATAGAGAAAAACAAAAATATAAGAAATATATATAATAAAATAATAAATATTAAAAATATAAATAAAAAAGTAATAAAGAAATAAGTAAAAAGGATTGAAATTAAAAATAGAAATATGGTATAAAGTTATTTATACATTATAAAATAAAAGGTATAAATAGAAAAGCTTCTACCTCTAAATAATTAATCTTCAATTTAATTATTAAATATATGAAAAACTAAAGTTGTTAATGGTTTTTTTTATATAGGTATTTGAGTTAATGGAACCAAAGTGTGAAAGTAACAGAGTATCGCGAGCAAGGTGTCATGCTCGTCGAGGTGCTGCGTTTTGCAAATTATCTGCACCACAGCATGGAATCCCTGAATTAGAAGCTGCTTTGAAGCTAGATCCGAATAACAAGAGCATTCAACGCGATCTATATGCTGTTAAACAATATTTTAACATAAAGGAATAAAAAAGGAATAATTAGGATTAATTTTCTAAAAATTTTACCCCTGTAGAAATTTTAGGAATATTTCAACTTATTGAAACTTATTTCATTTATTTGTGTCATATCAATAAGTTGATTGATTGTGTATAAGGTACATACATACAAGTAATTAAAGTATATATAATAAGATATGTAAAATACTTATTTAAAGTGTACATAAAAATGTATTACTTCCCTTATATTTATCATATATTGCTATTTTTTATTCTACTGAAAACATTAAATTTGTTTTAACTTTTTGTTTATCTTAAAAAATATAAGATATGAAACAAAGAAAACATTATTAGTGCAAAATTTTTATTTTTTAAATTCTGTATTTTAGATTTTGAATATGTTTGATTATGTTTACTTTCATATACTTTTAACATTCAGACACAACGTTTGTTAAGATTTATATTAAATGCATACATGATCATATAAACCATACTTTGCTAGTATTGCTATACAATACATAATTTAACATAATTAATCTTAGTAGATTTATATATATAATTCTGAGATGGAAAATTAAATTAAATTGTGTTAAAATAAACGAATTTTCTGATACATTCCAAAATACATTCGAAATAAAAATTTAGAATCCCTATATATCCGTAGTTATCTTAGATTTTCTAGCAATTTTAATAAACAGAAATTTATAATAAAGTTTTTTTTAAGAAAACAAAATTCTATTCTTTTGAATAAAATTATCATTATTTTAATTATCTAGGGACAATATATGTATTTAAAATTGTTTTCCTTGTTCAAAACCTGGAATTTTTTATAGCTAGAATTTTATCCATACAAGCGCATTTAATATGCTCTACAGCATGGATAACTTCATGATGACGATCTCGTTGTTGATCAATACGATGCCTGACCATGAAAACGAGGGTGACATTTCTGGTTTCGGTCGGAGTACAGATCTGTTTGGAATCAGGACAGCATCCTGATCCAGCACAGCGTGTCAGAACTGTGGATGCCGGATAAAAAGCTTCGTCAGGCCCGAGGCCCACAGTCAAGAGATCCTCTACTGCAATCGCCCTTGGTTGGGGCAGCAGACATTGAAATTGGTGCACCAATTGTACGTGGCTCAAAAAATCACTATCTCTGTATTAAACAAGAACAATGTAACTACAAAAATATAGGAATGAAAAAGAAGATTAGATAATGAAATAAAAAATAAAAAGGAAAATACGATAAGAACCAAATATTAAGAAGTGAAGAACGAAAAAAGAAAGAAAAAGTTATGTAAAATAAAAATAAATAGAAAAGAAGTAATAACTTTGTTAAAGAAACTGAAAAATCTAACTACATTATTCTCTTACCTGTGATGCCTGCCAACAGCAGTTAATACAAATTGAACGCAGATGACTAACAATAAAAGTTTCGTCATCTTGGAAATGTGATTCTTAAAGTGAGTTTGAACAATTTAAATCACTGGAGTGTATTGTTTAATAATAGTAAATCAGTAATTTTTAATTATTATTTTAGTTAAATTCAATATTTACTGTAATATATTTCTAAATAACCAAAGCGCACTTTTTAAAAATAATCAACAGCATTGCTCGATAAAATTAAGTCTCGAATAGCAATCACAATATTTTCTAAATATGCTTAAATTGATTCATCGATTATATTTTCTTTCAAGGAAACCAAATAATTTTATTGACAAAACTCTTTTTTAATTAAGCACAAAATAAAACTGGAAAAATACTGGAACTTCGGGTGTAGAAATCCTTGACTTTTAAGTTTTTCAAATCTTTTTCACTTTGAATTGAACGGTAAAAGAAGTAAATTAAAGAATCCAAGAAAGTAAAAGACTCAGATTTTCTTCAAATCAAAAAGAGAGAGACTCAGTTCTTTCAGTAATTTCTAAATCAATCACAGACAACTTAATCTTCACACTGCCTTTGGTGTCTTCTTGAAAGAAGAAGCCAACTTCGCGAGTCTTATTCCCAGAAGTATCTCTTCTTTTCTTCAGAAATATTTAATTAACCATCTTGATAATTTTTTTGAATATGCGTTCTCTATTTTCTTCCAAAGACCAACTTCTTTCGATCTATTCTACGATCTTCACGATTGGCATCGAAGAGGTCCACTGCAACTACCGCCGAGCTCTGCGATCAGAAATCTTTCATTCTGTGTATACACGTAACTGTTATCCAGTTTTTCCCTCACCTCGTTCTACCTTCGCCGATTTCTTCTCTCTCGTTGCTACTTGCTCTTCAATTTCTCTTCGCAGAGAGGTCTTCCTATGGATTCTCGGTAAAAGAAGAAGATTTGAGGAGGGATCGATCTAACCGTTCTGAGAAATTCTTCCAAATGACCGTAATTACTAAGAGTACTTCGCGTGACTTTTCTCCTTCTCGCTTCATTTCCTTCATCTTCTGCTTTCTTTTTCCTGTTTTCTTTTTATCTGATTACCTGGTTTAGGATGCAGAAATCCGAGAAATACAGTGAAACAAAGATTGAAGTTTTTTAAAATTATTAGAATTAATATAAAATTTTATAAGTTTTTTAAAATTCGGCATTGTAATACGTATAATCCTAAATTGCGTCATTGTAATTTTACAATATATTTATAATCTATTAAATATAATATGATTAAAGTTTCAGTAATTAAATTGATTTAGTATTATTTTATTATAAAAAAAGTACATATAAATTTACATTTCTAAATTAAATTTTCCAATTTAAACTTTTTTAGCTGCATAGTACGTTAAAAATTGATTAACTTTCGAAACAATTATTTTTGAGGAAATTTAATTTTTGAGAAAAACTTTTTGTGGAATGAACCTGATATATTACAGTGATAAAATATGAAAAATGAACACATGAAAATTGTTTTTATCTATATAAAAAATATTTATTTGTTTTTTAATATATGCAATAAAAAGGAATCTATACTGCTGTTAATACACGATTTAAAAGTACAGGGAGGAACAAATGCAAAAATATTATTCATTTCTACGAACGGAAATCACCTGGGATAACAATTATTAGTATTGCGGCTTATGCTGAGATATAATCTATTGCAGTAATACATAAGCGTCTACGTCGTGTCTAGTCGAATATTGTGTACATTCTAAAGACTTCTTTCCTTATTTCCGTAACATACGTGAATTTCAGTAGACGAATAGGAAAAAAATTATAAAGAAAGATTTCGGGTGAGAATAATTATAGCACTTGTAATGGTAATTCATTTATATATATTATATATATACAACACACACACAACACTGCGCAACAAAATTACGCAACATCTGTTTCACTATACAAAAATAGGCAAACTTCAAGATAGAATAATTTCGTCAAAAATCATCGTATCGAGATGTTTAAAAAAGCATTTTAAAGCTTGAAACCTCTACTTTTCAAATCGCTACTTGAAAATGTGGTCTCACGGAGATTTTTTGAAGTTACACAAACATATACATATATAAATAAAGATATATCAGATCTCAAAATTTTTTATAAAATTTGCGAAGTTCCACGAGGCGGACTAAAAATTGTACGCAAATGCGATTTAGATCATTCGAAAGAGCGAATCTTTACCTTTAATTTTTTTTTTACGAAGCTCCGTACGATTTTTTTTCACCGAGTTATTCAACGTTGAAACAAAAATGACTCTTTTAGAAAATTTGGAGAGGTGCAAAACAATTAAATATATAAATATAAAGATAAATAAATATTAAACAAGAATAAATTTTAAATACTATTAAATAAAATGCTCACATAAATTATTAAATCACGTGCTATTGAATATGCAAAATTAAAAAATAAATTAATATATCTTTAAATATGCATTTTAACTTTTTAGATAAGTTGTTTTTGCAGAAAGAATTGTTGAGTTATTATATTAACATTTATTATAAATATATGTTACATATAAAAATTAATATATTCTAAATGCTCTCATTTTTTAATTTTAAAATATATTAATACGTCATGTAGATATATTTTAAAAGTTATAAATAGCGTATTTTTATATGTACAATCATGCGTTTTTGTTTATCTGCTGTAATATAACTTAATTGTTAACATATGTAAAATACAAAATCAATTTAAAATTTGTTGACTGTTTCAACTTTTAATAAGATGAGTTATTTGTCAACATCTATATTCAAATTGAGGAAACAGATTAAAATTCTTTACACAGATTGGACGAGAGTGGGTCATCGAAAGTTATAATGGAATTCGTAGTACTTTGGTGGTCGTATATTTCAAAGATTGAGTCAGCATCAAGTGATTCATAGTATAAAAATTTAATATAACATCTCTCTTCAATATAAATCGATATATTCCTTTTTTTAAATTAAACTCATCGCACGCGTTAGATATTAAAATATATCACAAATAAATTGTAACTATCGCAATATTTTTAAGATATTTCTAAAAAAAAAAAATGAAAGCACAACTATTTTAAATCGTGAAAATTACAAAATATTTATACAATTAGAAAAAAAGATAAATAAAAATATTAAAAATGAAAATACAAAAATAATGATATTACAAAAGTGAAGAATTTGATAGATATATTTAATTAGAAGTCAAAGCGCGGTCAAAGTACGCGTTTTGTGCAAGAACGATCATCGTTAATGATAATCAATTAAATCTAGGAGTCACCTTTACTGTAGAAAAAAGGGACTTAGAACATAGATTAATCATTTTGTAATTATAAACTAGACCGTATCACGTTTTATTTCTGGAATAGGAATCTAGTCAATGAGTTGCATGAGCCAGGAAGGAAGTTCTACTCGTTTGCGATGAGTATTCGATAGTATTCGAACAATTACGCTGGCAATACGTCATTCTTACGTGTAATAACGAATGACTTGGCAGTTATTTGTTAACATATAGTTACTTGAAACAATTTAAGACTAAAGAACCATTCAAGAACAGCAAACTATTTATTTGCAATATTAATAATAAACAACCAATACTGTGCATTAATTTTTATAAGTATTCAGCAACAAATGATTAAAAAATTATATTTGAAATTATTATTTGAAAGATAATTAAAAATCTTTTGCATCGCGTATGTTAATATATAGTTAGGTAAGAGCACGTTGTGAATGACGTCAGTAATAAGGGAACCCCCCGTAAAGGAAAGAAAATTCTTCGGCTAGGTGTTCCCACCTACGTCACTGCTCACGGAACAGCTTCATTATATTTCAGCCTTCCGTATCAGGTGCAAAACTATCTGGCACTGACGAAATTATTTTACAATCTTGACGTGTATTATGATTAACTTGTGTAAAAAATTAATTCTCTTAGATTTTATACATTATTTAATATGCATGTTTAAAGTAGATACATTTCTCCTATTTTTTAATTATTATCATTCGTTTATAAAAAATGGTTAATAATAAGTAACAAATTGTTTTTATTGTTACATGACAGTAATAATGTATACAGATAATATTTCCTTTAATTATACACACACGTGTAACTTAATAAAATAACCAATTAGGTACATGGTGGACATGACTTGGCACGTGGCCATATAATTTGTAATAAAGTGGCGCCAGTGCAATAAGAAATTCCAATTGCGGGCGCTCTCCGCACACATAATTAATTCTAGAAAAACTTATAACCACGGTGACAATAAGAAATAAGATTTACTGGAAGTACATTTATTCCGCCTGAATCATTTATCAGATTAATTCCTGAGAATAAGAAAGCGGAAAAAGAACAAATTTATTATATATTCTAACATAAATTCTAAGAAATCTCATTCTGGGCAGAAAATAACTTAAAAACCTGATTTTTATGTATACAATATAATATATTGTAAAGAAAATAACGTTTACCAAATTGCATAGATTTATAATTTACAATCAGAATTAACAACATATAATGCCAAATAATCGCATATTGTAATTTAATGTAAGATAAATGTATTAAATAGATAGTATGTATAATATATATTTATTTATATTAATGCAGTTTGGATTACCTCTTTGACCTTGATAAAATCTAATAAATCTGACGAAGTGTTGCAAAAGACTATTTAATTGCATGTTGATAGTCAATAGCTGATTTACGTAAAAAAAGCCTTTAAGATGCAAATGTATTGTAGATATTGCATCGTTACTGAGAAAATAAACGTGATTAATACGTATTAATTTAATCTTTTTGCATTTGGTTATTCACCTGTCAAGATGACATACGTGGTCGTTATCATATCTTTGATTTCTGAGTTTCCTCGAAGATTTCCATTTTTCTCGTAAAACAAGTTAGCGCATAACTTTAAAAATCTGGAAAGAAGAATTATGTACAAATAATATAAATACTTAAAATCAATAGATATTTAAAAAAAAGGAGGAAAAAAGGAGAAGAATGTTAAAAAACATTTAATTTTAAGTTTCATTAAATAATAGTAAAATTTATAATTTTTCCAATTTAAAAAAGGTATAATTATATTACTTATTACGGAAAATTCAAACTTTAAGGAATTACATGGTGTTTATTGTTTACTCTCTTCTAGCAATCTAGTATTATAATAATAATAAGATTTTCGCGAAAACAAATAGCTTCTGCACTTTTTCTGTGTGAAAGGAAGAAGAGAGCACTAATTTTACGATTCATGAAAGTTAGCAAAAAGCAACCAAAATATTTGAAGTAATCATCATTCACGAGATGATTCTGCTATTGTTATTAGAAGCAGTTGGCCGCGAAAAATGACTTTTAAAGTGACAATCCGCGTAGCAATTAATTGTTTAAACCAATAACGCATAAATATCTAATCTAAATTATTTGTCAATTATTAATTTCGTATGAAGAAGAAAAATTGAACTTTCACCTAATTGTTTGATTCATTAATTATAAAATATTCTTTTTAATTTTTTTATATTGTATCATAAATCATATTTTTAATTATAATCGTTTTATTATCATTATTAAAATAAACATTAAAACCAATATACTTCCACAATTTTTTCCTTTTTTTTTTAATAAACTTGTTAATTTATATGTAATTTTCTTTATTGCTTATTTACTTATATCATAATTACATTCTGAAGTAATATCATGTATGCATTGATATTAAAATTACACATCGATCAATAAAGTTCAAATTTATGTCTAATTGTTAAACTCAAAGTAGAAGTTCTTTAATATTCGATAGATTTTAAGAGTAAATCTTTACTTTAGTAAAAAAAAGTCATTATTTTTAAATAACAAACAATATAAGCAATTAAAATTGAAATGTTTTCCATAAATTAAATTTTGAAAAGTCAATAAACAATAAAATTATATTCTTAAATAAATTTTAAATAAATTTTATGTTATAAGAAAAATTTTTGAAATATAATTAAACATGTACTTCATAAAATATTGAAAAGTTGCAATAAACGCAATTTTCTTTAAGACTTTTCGAACAATTTTTTACATGTAAAAATTAATTCTAAAAGTTATAACTAAGTAATTTATTATTAAAAACATTTAATAAATTTTATCGGAAAAATTGATATAAAAATATTCATTCTCTAGATATCAATACATTATTGTTTTTTTATTTTCTTAAATTATGTCATTACATTAATCATTATATTTACATTATTCATTGTAATATAAATATGCTTGATAGATTCATTATCGGCTGTAACAATTATAATATTATTCAAAGTGCAAAGGGTTAAGCAGCAATGGCTGCACACGCCCGTGAAATGGTTGCACAATAAAGCGGAATCATCGCGGAAGGCACGCGCGATCTGGACTTTACGCGTGTTCTAGCGTGAGGCATGCGTGCAAGCTCTTCCATATATAAATACTCGTGTGTCAGTGGGAAAATCTCAGTCGGCTAATACTTGGTGCCTGTGTAGCTTTTCTCTCATTGAGCTACCACTGTTCAAAAACTTCACCACGTGATTTTCTTGCTCTTCAAAAAGAACAGAGCAACAGAGTTTCGAAAGTAGGAAAGAAGAAAAAAAGATATTTAAAAAAATCCATCAAGTTTATCCTGCTAGCATCCTTTTTCTTCAAAAAGAAGCACGAAGATAAATTTATAAAAGAAAAAAATATCCAAAAAATAAGATTAAAGAAGAGAAAAATTCAAGAAGAAAAAGAATCTTTTCAGTTTTCTGAAAGTGTGGTGATTTCGTTCTTAAAAAAACATAGCAAAACTTTTTTATCCTTCCTGCGTTTTTAATATCTTCAGTTTGATCTAGTGTAATGTAATTTTTGAGCGAAAAAATCAATGGGACCAAAAAACCTTGCAAGTTCAATGATCAATAACGATCGGTTTGTTGAGACTAAGGATCACTGATCAATTCACCAATCGAGTACGATTGAGCTTTCCAGTAAAAAATCCAAGCTTTGAGTTCACTTTTCGACTAGAAAAAAACCGGCTAGACCAATGATGAAAGGCAGACCGAGAGGATCGCTTCTGAGGCTCTTGATTCTCATCCTGACGACGGTGGATCAGATAATGGTAGTCTTGACGGCTCATCACGGTGGTCATCACCATCAAGTCTCGAGGAGGATCCATCTACCACGTGCAGTGGAAGCTACCAAGAAATTCCTCTGCAGAGAGCCCCAATCGAGAGCTTACAATCTGAGGGATCTGGTGCACAGTATGCAACCGAGTGAGAGCGTGAATCAGCCGGTGTACATTGTGGTGAAGAAGTGCGACAACCATTCGGGCTGCTGCGTTAGTCCCGATCTCAGCTGCGCGCCGGTCCAGTCGTCGATATATTACGAGGACATGGAAGTCGAGGTCTGGAGCCTGCTGACGAATAGCACGAGAAGGGTGTGGATCAGAATCGAACAACACGGCAGGTGCAGTTGCGAGATCAGTAGTGCTAGTGAGAGACTTAGAGAGGACACTCAGCCACCTAGTATACAGATCCTTTGATCCTTGAAGTTCCTTGGATTCAGCACTGAAGCAAAAAACTGCAAGTGGATCGATCAGTAGTTGATTAATTATCCTGCATTTCGATTGCAACACTGTGCTGGAAGAAGAATAACATGGAGTGTCAATTGAAGTTGGTTACTCAAGACTGGGATTAATTTTTTTTTAAGATTTCTATTTTACATATTTTAATTTTTTTACGTTTCCTTAAAATTGCGTGTCGCTACAGAACGAAGACTAAAGAAGCAACAGCACTGACTTACTCGTCAAAAATATTTAATATATAGTGTAATGTTATGAGAAAAATATAAAGTGTCGGTAAATGTTGATCGTAGTTGAGACTGAGGACAAATTGAAGTTTTTACAGTTAATACTCGATCTATTCTGTTTACGGCTACATGATGACGGAAGACAAGAAGCGATAAAGTAAAATTAGTTAGCACATTATATGAACTTTAATATTCAAATTAGCTTAATTAACAAATCTAATTAAGAAATTAAGGACTAATAGAAAATACAGAAGAAAGACGCCCAATAAGTGATTGTGATTGTGAAGGATTAAGTCATAAAAAATATTTCGAGTGCAAAAATCATTTGGATAAATAAGAAAAAAGAAATGAACTTTTTTACAGATAAATTTAAGAATTTAAAGATCCAATTTTTCGATGATTAGTTTTCAGCAAAAGAAACTTCGATCCTTCAGTTGACGAAGAGATATGTTTTATATATAAATATCTCGCAGACATCTATTTTTATCGAAGACATCTATCTCGAGGTGATAACTTACAATGTTAATGTATTTATTAGACTCATATCGTGCCAAACTTTTTTTATGCAATTTAGTGTGATAGAATAAATGTAAGAGGATTAGAATATCCTGTCGGATATCAAAAAAGTACATAAGGGCCTTTTAACATAACACATGTTACATTTCTTTTTGAATACTTTAAACATCCAGGATGTTCTATTGTAAGTGATTACACACGAAGTGTAACTTAGCGACAATTATTATATTTTTACCTACTTCACAGATTGTGATTGTGAATATTTTAGAGACATTTAGGACTTTTAATCGACATTGTGATTAAAAAAAATCATATCAATTTGTAGCGATAACACTAGGTTTCAAAGTAAGATGTATATCGGTTCCAACTACTCCTTTCGTGTATTCGAATTTGTTTTCAAAGTGACGTTTATATGAAAGTAATAACATCGCAAAGCTAACAGCCATGTTAAATATAACTTCGCTATACATTTGCTAAATGCGATACTGTTCATGCGGAGTTTACATTAGTTAAACAAAGTCCAGACGCAGCGAAAATAACTACGTTTGTATGTAAATAGCTTTGTACAAAGAGCGCGTGCTTCAAAAATTATAGTACTTCAAGAATCAAAAATAAGAAAAACTTTTTTGTGCCATGAGCGATTGTTTAGAAGTTTAACTTCTGTAAATAGGCAATGAATTTTCTAGTATTTATTTTATCTCTCTCTTGCATAGATTTATACATAAAATAAGTAAGGTAAAGTAACTGCAAATGTCATACAAAACATAAAAATGTTTTATAATTTAATCCGCACACACAACACAGTATTTTTATATCAATTTTAAATTTAAGAAATTTTAGAAATCTAACCATTTATTGATATTATAATTAATTAATTTATTGATGATTCTTTAACGGAAATGTAAAATAATAAGGGTTCAACAGTATTTCTGTAGCATCTAATTAGTAGCTAATGAACTCGATTATTTAATTTTTGTATTAATTAATTTATGTATCAAATAATTTATGAAAGGCAAAACAATGAAAAAATGTTTATATAAAAATAAATTGCAGCTTTGGCTATTTTTATACTAACTCGTATAAATTTATTTCTATATATGTATATTTGTTATCGATCTCCATAATCATTTTATTTAAATTTCAGGTTAAATAATTTCGATTGTTTTTCACTAAATTTTCTCAGATTACAATATTACTTTCGTAATAAGAAACAACATCCAATGATTTTTTGCTTTAAAGTTTTCAAAAAAAATAAACAAGTAAAATATTTTATAAAATATAAGATTCGAAAAATTATAACTTTTACATTATAAAATTATTATAAATATCAATGTTAATTCTTTATATTTGAGAAAAATCTTTTTATTAGTTTTTCTTTCCTTTAATTTTTTCTCGAGAAGCTAATGTTAATTTTCACAATTATTTTGTTATTAGCTATATCATTTATCCGCCTGTCTACGGTAGACAGAAATAGCGAAACAATACGTATTCTCGATTTAGCGCGCAGACGTGTGAAAAGAATTGGACTGACGCCCAAATGAGAGCCGGCAGCGCCGTTCAACGCCAACGCTGATGGACACTTGTTCTGAAGTCAATCTTGAAAAAAAATTAATTTATGACGTTGAATGAAACTTGAATCACGTGCAAGTATCGTGTTCAAATTATATAATATATTGTTTGCTGAATGCATTTAATTTTTTACTGTTTACTTTAAAGTTTTTTTGGGATTTTCGGTTAAAATGGATTTTAAAATGAATAAATCAAACTTGTAAAAGAAATATAAATCTAACTAATTATTTTCATAACTCTAAAATTTATTACTTAAGAGTTTTTTTAAAAAATGACAAAATTATTACAAAATTCCTTTTCAACCCTTAATCTTTATTTCTAAAAAAATCACTTCTTCAATGCTTCTTAAAGAAGCTATTGAGAACAAATATGAAAAAAATGATACTTTTTTTTAAACAATTAGGAACATTTAAAACATTTATTACATAGATGAATAATCAGTTTACTGACGTTTATCTTTTACTTGTGTTTAACATAATTGTATCCGATAAAACTACATAGAATGTCTGACGAATATAAGACGTACACTAGGCAGAGAAGATGCTGTGTGATTACGAGTATCGGGCATAAGGATATTTCGAACGCATTCGTCGGCCACGTGTCCCTCGTCCTCGTCCTCCCTCATTGGCAGCCCCTCTAGCCGTATGTCCTCGCATCACAGGTTGTCCTTTGGAAATTGAAATATCCCATTTAACATTTGCACATAAAACTTTACGAATAAAGCATTTTGGATATAAAAATTTATCTAAATTAGAGAGAGAGAGAGAGAGGTGAGATACGCTAAACTTTTTAAAATAATAGTTAAAAATCAAATCAATAATATATGCGAAGCAAAATAAGAAAGTTGAAAAGTCAAGAAATGAACAAACTAAAAGATGTTAGAATAAGTAAATAGTATTGAATATTTAATAAGTAAATAATTATTGAATATATGTACATATAAAATAATTGTAAGCAATAAATCATTCATCTTTTATAAAGAATAAAAAGAAAAACTCACGTTATTAGATAAAAAGATAATGTAATGAAAGAAACAATCTTTTTTCTCGAAATAAACAGATAAAATCTTATCTAATCGTGCTTCGTTTCTCACCTCTACCCGACTGAGTTTCTCCCCACACGATCGGTGTAGGCCTCGCACCTCTTGCCACCCTCGGCGTGAAGGGTGATCTCGGTGATCTCCTTACTGTCATTCCTCTACCATTATTGGCGTCACTCGTAGCCGCCAGACTTGCTGCCAATGTTCTTTGTCGTGTATTACTAGACGGCGATGCTTCTGCTTCCCGATTCTCTTCCTCGACTTCTTCTTCAACGAGTTCGCTTCCTGTCTCTTCTGTTGCTTCGATCGTATCTACAGCATCATCCTCTCCAGACGCTAAAACTGGTTCTTCCTCTCGCTTTTCACCCTCCGAACTTACTCCTGCGAAAATAAAAACAATAGAATTACATACTCATTTTTGTAGAAACTATTGTATATTTTTTAAAGATAATATCTAAAGTTAAGCTCATGTATGCAAAGCAAGATAGGAAGGTTGAAAATCCAAAAAAAAAAAAGCAAGCCAAAAGGTGTTCAATTTATTGTTAATAATATTAGTTAAGTAAGAGAGAGAGAGAGAGAGAGAGAAAGAGAGAGGAGGGAAAGGAGAGAGGGGGGAGGAAGAGAGGAGAGAAGGGAGGGGGAGATAGATAGATGTTCTAAACTTTTTAATTAATATAATTAGATTCAGTGAGAGATACCTTCACTTGGAGTTGCGCTAGATTCTGTAGCTTCAGTTGAATCTCGTTGTTGATCATCAATACCAACAATATGTATGCTGGGAATATTAGGATCGTCACTATTATCTCCAGAAGTGGCTGTTACAGCAACATGTGTAACAGTGTTCTCTTGTTCTTCAGATTGGCTGCTACTAGTCTGTTGTAATGTGAAAGGAAAACATTAGTACCACAATAGTTTTGATGCTTTTTTATAAGAAATTACTAGAACATTTATCAGTAAAAATTACGTTGTTAAAATCTCAATCAATGTTCACGTGCGCTCGCTCGCGCGTGTACTCGGGAGGATCGCTTCTTCATATATGTTTTTCAGTCAAGAGCGATTTCTTCACCATATCACTATAAACATATGTATTCGAATAGTTTCGCATGATACAAACCTTTCTGCTTCAATTTTGTTTATCCTTGACGCAGTGTTAAACCAAGATTCCGCAAAAACAGTTTTTTATCGTCTTCTTTGTTCACTTTGCATTTCAAGCTACGTTCCGGCAAATCATCGATATTTTTTTCCACATTATATCGTTGCACCCACTTCTGTACAAATGATCTTGACTTCCTTATATATATATATATATATCTCAAGAACAAAAGTTCCCTCTATCAACTCATTAAAAATTCAGAGCGATATCTTGTACCAGTTGTGAGTAAAGCCAACTACGCTCTTACTAGACAGGCCTGGTCTAGTTTTTATCCTTGATGCGTTGTGAAGATTCGGTTGTTAAAATTTTTGTAAGAAAAACACGTTAAACGCCATGAGTGCCAAATACGCATCACGCTACGAGGCTTCCTTTATACACCCAAAAGATCCGAAAATGTAGTAATCAGCGACTGCTAAATATATGAGGAAATCAAGATCATTCGTGAAGTGGCAGCGATATAATGTAGCAAAAAATGTCGATGATTTGCCGGAATATGGCGAAGTAAACAAAGACAATAAAAAAAATAGTGAATCTGTTTTTACGGAATTCTGGCTTAATACTGCATCAAGGACAAACAAAATTGAAGTAGAAAGATTTAAATATATCGTGAGAAACTATTCGAACCCATCTCCATGTTCATGACGTGAAATGGCACAACATAGTGAAGAAAAAACTCTCTTGACTGAAAAACATGTGACGATAAAAATAGAAATTTTTACATAAAATAGAAAAATAGAAAGTTCTACATAATAAAAAAATAGAAATTTTTTTTACCGAAGGAGGTAAATCTGCAGCTGGGGAAACCTGCAGAGGTGTCGTGGGGACACTGCGACCAGTTCCGCCATCCTCCAGCTGTACTAGGTCCATTCTACTATCATCCAAACTTTCCTGAACAACAGTGGAATTGGTTGAACCAAAAATCCTAGTATTTGAACCTGAAGGTGTTGTCAAAGACGGTGTTGAGGAAGCAGTCGTAGGTGCCGAAGAGTCTCCAAAAGTGAAACGCCCTTGCGGCACCTGTGGAGAACTCACAGCTTCACCAAAACCGTCGCGACGCGGAACGAAGAGAGTAGGAGTACTTGGTACTATACAGTCGTCACCGCCATCTTCGTAGCCTTGTTGTGGCTTTGGGGAGAAAAAAATTGGAATGATGTAAACTTTTTAAAATGTAATAATTAAAAAATATCGTAGGACCATTTGAAATACCAACCAAAAGAAGGTGTTGTTGTTGCTGTTGTCTAGGCATGGGTGCAATTCCTCTAGAGGACATGGCTGTGAAAGACGTGGCGGGTTCAGCGGTTGGTCCAGCGCTACTTATGGCTTCAGATTGTTGCTGATTTGCAGGAATAATGGCTTGACCTTGTCTAGAAATTTCAACACTGGTGGAATCCTCCTCCATAATAATTTCCACTTCATTATTATCTCGTTCAACCTCAACTTCGACTTCATAAGGCATTTCTTCTTCTTCCTCTATCTCTTCATACGTATCATTGTCAAATTCTTCCTCTTCCTGTGTTTGATGATTGCCTGCACCTTCACCTTCATCACAGTCCACCACTACTACACATCCTTCTTCTACTTCTTCATCTTGATCTCTCTGACTTGACGTGGGTACCTGAAACATTACAATGATTATTAATATTAGATTAATATTAGAAAGTTAAAATATTTTTTAAATTAAATTACAGATAAGTACAATAGAAATGTAAACGTTTCTCCTTTGTATACGCTAATTTTACCTGATATTCCACTTCCGAAGCGCTGGCACTCGCAGTTGCACTGATATCTTGTCTGCTCCTCTTAGTTTTTGGACTTTGCACTTGCTCTTGACGGCCATGGTCCAATCCTTCAACTATCCCAGAACCAGAAGCAGTTGAATCTCGGCCTCGAGGTCTTTTAAGTCCCGTAGAAGCTTGAGAAGTACTGACCGATTGCGTGGAGCTGCTCGCCACTGTTTGTTGCTGATCACTGACAGTAATCTGTTGCTGTTGTTGCTGCTGTTCCACTCTGGGACTCACTAGTGCTACTGTTTGTTGCTGTTGTTGCTGCTGCTGCTGGCATTGTTGCTGTTGCGGTTGCAAATTAAGTGTTTCCGCACTTTCTGGGTCTTCTCTCTGTGTCGATTCCGCCGATTCACTTAATTGCGGTTGTACCACCAACTGACGAAGACTACTGGTTTGTGCACTTTGTGAAGTACTAGTACTTGCCGGTTGGAAGTCGGTCAGACTGCTAGTCGGTGAGCTCGTCTCGGTAGTATGCACTACCTGTTGTTGCTGCATTTGATGCGGTGCAACCATAACCGGCGCACCAGCTGTAGTTGGTAAGACGGCAGCTGTCCGCGACTGCACCACCACACTCATTGGCCTAATGCTGGCCAATGGTGTTTCTGCTCTGGCAGACATCGGTTTAATGTTCGCTGTTGGTGGCTCCGTAGTCGCACTTACCCCGCTTACTCCCGATAACTGTCTTTGAAGTTGAGCAACCCGCTGCAAAAGTGCTTCCTTTTCTGCCTGTATCTCGGATTTCTCGTGCTCCAATCTAGATATCCGACCTTCCATTTGCGATTTCAGTGCCACTATTCGTGCATCGTGCTCTGTATCAGAATCTCCTTGAACTCCGGTACTGCCTCCCACAGATTCTATCCTGGATTTTAAATCCAATAATTCTTTCTCGCAGATCTTCTTGGACTCTGTCAATTGCATAATCTTCGTTCTTGCACCCTTCAGCACCTGTTTCGCCCTGTCTTCTTTTTCTATGCTGCTGCGATTCATGGCCTCGATTTCCTTTTTCAGATTATCAGCTTCACTTTGAGCCACTACCATTTGGCGAGTTGCTTCATCTATCTTTGTCGTGAGCTCGATGTTCGCTTGGCGAAGCTCCTGGCGTCCTTCCTCTCGCAGTTGATCTTCACGTTCTTGTGTTGTCACACCAGAAGCATTCTCGTTTCTAGTTTCCTCATTGCGATTCTTCTCTTCCTCGACGCTTTTCGCGAGTTCCTCAAATTGCGTTTTATACTTTTTAGCTATTTTGCGGATCTGAATTTCCTTGTTTCTAATGTCATTAAGAACGACATCCTTATCGCTTAGCTCCTTTCTAAGGGATGCCAAATCCTTTGTCTTCGATGTAGAATCGGCTAGTGCCTCGTTAAGCTCCTGACCTAATTTGCGAACTTCTTCTGATGCTCGCGACACATGTTCATCTTGGGTTTGCATCTGTCTTTGCAATTGCGTTAGTTGTTCCTCGAGTTTTGCCTTCTCTATTTTCACTTGATTAAATTCCTCAGATCTCTTTGCATGAGTTTCCCTCTCTGACGTCAACAATTTGCTCAAGTTCTCTCTTTCAGTTTGAAGTCGTCGCCAGTCTTCAGGGCTGGCCTTATTCGCTCTTTCCAATAACGTATTTGCTCTTTGCCTCCATCTGGTTGCCTCGCCTTTCAAGCTAGTGTTTTCTTCTATCAAAGCTTCTGTTTTGGCTGTTAAATCTCTGGATATATCTCGAAGAGGTACTACTTCTTCCGATAAAGAGTTCACTTTAGTTGTAAGTTCGTTGACTTTCATACTAAGACTATCTCTTTCTTCCCTGAGGATTCGATTAGAATCCGTTATGGCGTTTAAGGTCTCCACCTTGCGCAGTAATTCGGCATGTTTGGATGTGGTCATTACATTAATCTCGGACTTTTCTCGTTCAGAATTCAGTAAAGTTTCAGTTTCCTTCAACCGCTTCTCTATTACCTCAACTTGTGATTTTAATCTCAGATTTTCAGCTCTAAGAACATCGGTTTTGGCCAAGGACAAATCCTTCTCTCTTCTTAAATATTTCATTACTCTCAGTAATTGTTCAACTGATTTGGAATCTTCCTCCAAAGAGCTAAAACTCTTATTTAGAGCTTCCAGACTAGTATCAGGACTATCTCTTCCGCTAATTATTGTCTGCTGACTCTGCATGATGGCTACTCGGTCACCCAATTCCTGAATCTGATTATGCAGAAGTGCATTCTGCGTATCCAGATCTATAATTCTCTTTTGAGTTTCTTCGACCTCATTCACAAGCTTCTGTTCTCTCTGTTTTGAGGCCAATTTTTCAGCTTCCAGAGCTTGCACTGCAGCATTTCGTTCTACAGTCAAAACATCAAATCGCTGTTGAACTTGTTGAGTGTCTTCTTTCAATTTTGACAAAATCTGCAAAGACATTTATGTTAAAAACGTAATATATAAATTCATACAAATATATTCTTTTGTTATTAGATTTACCTGCAAATCAGACGAATGCTGCAGCATTTCTCTCGTGTATTTGTCTTCTGCTTCTTTGACCGTGACAGAGGCAGATTTCAGATCTGTTTTTAACAACTCCAATTCACTCTTCAACTCATCGAGTTCTTCGACTTTTCTCTCAGCTTCAGCCAATCTATCCCTTAATTCCGAATCGGTTTCTTGTCTACCATTTGATATCTTCACCAGATCATCACCTAGTTCTTTCACTCTTTTTTGTAATGAAATGATCTCCACACGCGATTCTTTAAGAGCATTCTCCAGCTCTTCTTTGTGTTTGTTACATTCGGTTGTCAACTCTCTCAACTGTGTTTCAGCGCTTTCTGCAATGTCACAATACTGCTGACTTTGTTGTCTAGCTGCCTTTAATTGTTCGGAGAGCGAATTTACTTCAACCTGAGAGGTACTCAGTTGTATTTCCAACTCCTTTACTCTCTTCACAAGACCTTCATCGCCTGTCAAGGGTTTAGCGATGGAATGGGCAGCTGCTTGTCTCAATTTATTGTTTAACTGATCAATTTTTTGACTATTTTGAGTTTCAGTCTCTCTTACTTGATCCAACTCGACTCTCAATCTCTCACTTAATTCGCGTTCTTCTTTCAGTCTTTCTTGAGCAATCGTAAACTGTCTCTCTAAATGAGCCGCCAATTCTCTGAAGCGATCCTGTTCTTCTTGAAGACGACGTCGAAGAGCAGCACATTCCCTGTTGGCGTCATCGAGCCTCTGCTCGGCCCTAAGCTGTCCTTCAGCCTGGACTCGCTCCAGACTGGCTTTAATAGATTCCATATCTGCCTTAAGCAATGCTTGAGTTTGTCTTTCTCTTTGGTAAACCTCCCGTTCTTTTAGAAGACGTCCCTCAGTATCCCACAAAAGTTGACGTTCCTGACGAATATTTTCTAGTTGAACTTCAGCTCGAGATAAGCGAGTTTGAGCGGAAAGCGTCTCATCTTTCAGTATCATAATACTTTGTTCATGTTTGCTAATAGTGATGTTATAATTGGTACATTTCTCCTCAAGTGCCTTGATCTGGGACTTGTATGAAGCGACATTACCTTGCAAAAGTGAGAATCTGTCATTCGCCGAGTCCAACTGCGCTTTCAGTCTGCAACACCTTGCCGAATTCGATTCTGCCTCTTTTCTAAGTCTTTCAACTTCTTCGCTCAACATCTTTTCATGCGCAGTTCGTTCTTTGCGATATATCTCGTATTCATCTGAAACATGTTTAAACTGATCTTCAGTCTCTTTTAATTTCTTGAGTAACTTTTCTTTTTCTTCATCATTTTTTGTTGTTTTTAACTCCTCATCTAATTTGCCTTCTTCAATATCTTTGTCCACTTCATCTTTTCTCTTTTCATTGGAATTCTTCATCTGTTGGTACATGTTTTTGTACATGTCTTTCTGCTTTAAGAGACCGTCCAACATCTTCGACTGCCTATCTTGCGCAGCCTGCATCTCTGTTAATTGTTCCATATAACGATCCAGTTTCTCCTTCATCTCGCCTGAATTTATTTCATCGGTGGCTCGCTCCATTTCTTCTTGTCTGGATGATAATGCGCGAACAATTGCTAAGAGCTTCTGATTATTCTCCTGCAGTTCTTCGATATCTTTAAACGTCACCAACTTTTTACTAATAATTTGCGATGACGAGATGTCATCTGTGTCTATAGAAGAAGACAAATTTCCAGTTTCCATGCGAGTGCTGGTGCGACTTTCTTGGACTTCTTTAAGCAGATAACATACCTATAAAAATGTTAAAGTTTTTGTAATTACATATCATAGGTTTTTACTCTTAAATTCTAGTAATTACATATCATAGGTATTACTCTTAAATTCTAGTTTGTTGTATAACAACTCACTTGTCTAGCTAAGTCAGACAATTCAGTTTTCAGCCTCTGATTTTCTGTGGAGTGATGTTTGGAAAGACGATTAGCCTCATCAGAATTTTCATGAAGACGTTGATTTTCTGCCAGGAGATCGTCCAGCCTGTTTGTTAGCGTCGTAATATTCGCCATAGCTGTTTCATAATCTTGACGCTGTTGCTGCAGTAACGGCGCCTTTTGCTCCAATTCGCGAAGAATTACATCCATCTGAGACTTCAAACGTTCGTTTTCTTCACGCTCCACGTTTAAGTCATTGGTAACTTCAACTAGTTGGGTATAAATCTGTGTAAGGCTTAAACCTTTTCGTAATACTCGACTGGTTACAGCTGCTGCCGGTGCCAATTGTTCTACCGCTTGATTTAATTTCTCTGCAAAGTTTGTACAAATGTTATAATAAATAAGATACATCTAGTAATAATAAGAGAAATTAAGAATAAAACAATACATACAGAAATATATATGCTATCAGCATTAATGTATCAAACATGATAAAGAATTAAGTATGCGACCCACCTTGTTGAATATTTTTCAGCAATTCATTAGCATTTTCTAACTCTTTTGTCAATTCCTGGATATTTTGCTCTTTATCATCAATATCTTGTTTGTGCTGAACCAGTAAGTGATTGTACTTTGTCTCTAAGATTCCGTATTCTTCTGCAGTACTATCCACAAGTTTTTGTAATTCGCTCGCTGCATTAGAAAGTGCCTCGGCTTTAGCATTGGCATCATCCTTCATCGACTCGTATAAGCTAGTTAGATTTTTCTGTGCATTGATTTCTTTTTGGTAGGAATCGTTTATTGCTATTTCGTGGGCACGTTGCTGTTCCACCTTCTGAGCCAGTTCATCGGATTGCTTTTGAAGAGAAGAAACAGATTCTCGCAGTTGAGAATTGACTTCATTGGCTATTCGCAATTCTTCTTCACGCTGGGATAATTTAGTATCAATTAAAAGAGCTCTGGCAGAGGCCTCAGATCTTGCTGTCTGAAGTTCAGAGGTCCTCCTTGCTAACTCTTCTTCGAGACCTGCTATTTGTTGGGAGAGAAGCACTCGTTCTTGCTCCAATCGTTTCTCTCTACATACATATATCATTCAAATTAAAAATATATTTTGTATATATAATTAAAGACATATTCGTCCCTACATGTATGCATGTGTATATATATATATATATATCTATATATATATATATATATAGATATATTAAGAATGTATTATCAAAATTAATTATATTCATTACGAAACATATAAAACTGATAAAAATTTAATAACTCTAAACAATAATATAACATAATCATATATATACTTTATATATTTATGAATGTGTTAAAGTTTTAATCAAGTATTTAGTTAATAGGAAATAAAACTTACATATATATAATAGTCAAAGCTGGATCTTTAATGCTTGAATATTCAATGTAAATGTGTAGGTACACTATGTATATACATACATATATACTATATTTGTAGTTATTTGAATTGCACATCAAATTAATTTTTTCAGACTTAAAAACGCAGTTAAACTGAAGTAATTATCACAATAAAATTTTCAGTACTCCATAGGCATCTGTTAAAGAAATCTTAATATATTGGAAATCTATAAATTTATTTATTGTGAAAAATATTACCTCTCTGGAATTGAATCCGATTCTAATTACTACAATTATATACATGTATATATATTTAGTATGTTCAAATTCACATTGAATTACTTAATCATCAAAGGTCCAGCTTTGACTGTTGTGTGCCTTTATTTCCCATTGTTTGTGTTTTCACATATACAGTTCAATAAAGATTCTTATTGTCAAGTATAAATTAGTTAAGCACGAACGTAGCATGGCAGACAATGTACTAATCTATCATATCAGAGGTCCTGGATTAGATCCTGGTAGAAACTAAACTATTTACACTCATATTTCCTTTCGGAAAAGATCGGCAATTTCTTGAGAGTATATTTTTTATCCACAGAAATTTCTCAAGAAAACATTTAGAACAAAACTGTAGATATGCAATTGAATAATCATGTGCATCACAAGTATATGAGAAAGATGTAACATTGGCCAAAAGTTTAATGTAAGAGGAAGTTTTTTTTCTTCTTAACTTACTTGAAGTCCAAGGTCATTTCTCGACTACGAATTTCCTCAGTCTCAGCCAGAGTTTGACACTTGGTTGCAATCGCAGTTTGAAGCTGACTGCTTAAAGATGATAATTCAATACGCATTCTTTCAATCTCAGTATCTCGCCTTTCAACTTGTAACTGCAATGCACTTGCCTCATCTGTGGCTGTATCTCTCTGTCTGCGTAATTCACCATTTTCCTTCTCTAATCTATAATTCATATTAAAAGAAACATAATTGTAAAATATTAAATATTAATACCACATTTAGAATAAATAATATAATTTTATTTTGTATAATTTTATTGTTAATCATTAAAATATTAAAAAATATTTTTCCAATAAGCAATCAAATACTAAAATTGTATAACATTACCGTTTGACAGATTCCTGTAATCGGTGTACTTCTATTTTCACTTCCTCAAAATTGCTACAAATTTCTGTATTGCTCTTTTCCGTGAATTCTAACTTTGCTTTATGTTCTTCAAGATCCAACTTCTGTTCTGCAACTTCTTTCTGTGCCTTCTCCAAATTTTGCTCTATAAATTAAGACATTACACAAAATTCCGACCTTTTATTTAATCATACAAGTCTTTATTTTAGGTACTGTCTAAATTTTAGTACTGTCAAAAGTTATTTACTTTTGATACTTAATCCTAGCTATACCACTTGAGTCCCTGGGACTCCCCATCCATATTTATTATTATAGCTTCCATAAAAATGGACATATTTCAATTAATTTTTGTTTTAATCAATAGAGAATTGATCAAGGGACAAGTCCATAATAATGTAAAAGTCAATAGAATTAAAAAGATTTGAAATATAGATTTATGTCTAAATATTAAGTAGAATTGTAAGGCTTTTAACATATTCTTTGAAGATTTATAAAAACTTTGAAATGCTTCTCTCTCTCTCTCTCTCTCTCTCTCTCTCTCTCTTTGTACAATATCTTTACAGACAGCTTCTTACTAACCATACGATTTACAAGAAATCATAAATATTTACTAACAATTGTACATTTTAAACCTGGTTAATAATAAGTTACAAATATACTATCGTCAGTCACTATGCTTCATAACAGAGCATTAATAATAATTAGTCATGTTTCTGATAGCTGTCACAAAACATTGCAATTGATAACGGAATTTATAGACTGACTTTACAATATATATTTATAAAATTAGAATACTAGTCATAAATTCTTACAAATTTTACAAGAATAAGTTACAAGCAATATGTTTTTGCTTAAAAATTGATTCATCAAAGAAAAAGAAAAGTTCAGAAACAAAAAAATTTCTATTTAGCAAAAATTGCATTGGAGTTTCTGAGATTCCAGTGTGTACAGCTAGGGTTAAGATTAAAGAAGTTTAGAATCATATTTTAAATAAATAATGAAAGTATTAATAGAAAAAATTAAAAAAAATTTAATTTAGAAAAAAAGGACATATCAAAGAATTGAAATTTCTGACATAAGTACACAAATAAAAACGTCTGTTCCCGAAATGTTTGAAAGTGTGACCTTCAAACCGGCGTCCAACTTACCCAAGCATTTTCGGTTCGTCTCGAAAACCGCCTTGGCGGTAATGAATTCCTCGAATCTATTATTAAAGTATACATTGATCTTCCTCACTAACTCTCTCGGGATTTGTGTTAGCTCTTTCTCATTCGCAATCTCAAGAAGAATGTTATGCACGTTCTCCTCGACCACTTCCATGTTGTACGAATTATTTATCAATATTGAATCAATCGGGCAGTGCAACCAGTGTTCTTATACTCCTAGATTAAAATATGGAATCCTTTCCAGCAAATACCACATTTGCGCTATTGACTGCTATCACTTTTTTATTTTATAGCAAACGATAAATCACTTTTACCTCTTCTAACCGCTTCGCAGTCACCAATCGTCACGATCGTCAATCATGGTGGAATACTCCGAATACTGGAATGATGGAATCATGGTGGAATAAGAAAGGTGAACTATTGCGTATGTGGAAGGGAATGGGCGCGTTAACAAAGCGGCTAGCCTGCTCGCCGAGCAAATGAACATAATTGGTTGTTACTTACAGATCTAACCAATCTTATTCAATCGCTCAGCAAGCGTATTTGACCAATGAGGATAAAGAAATTTTAGGGCCAATTTCACCAACGTCGGTTAAGCTAGAGTCTCTAGGACTCTAGGTTAAGCTAACCAACGGTTAATTCCAATGGAATTATCCAATCGCATTTGTCTTTGACCAGAATGAACCAATCACGGTTGACACTTTAATCGTCGGTTAGCTTAACCGATGTTGGTGAAATTGGCCCTTAGCTCCTATTATTTTGATTAGCCAAAATTCAATCTTTCAATCGTCAATGGTCGCGTTCAGCAGACTCAACTGTTGCAAAACGGATCCGTGAGCGTTCATGCTAGTTGCACACCAGCGCGACACGCGATATCCAATGAGCGTCTAGCTTTAGAATGAGAACATCGGTAAAGCTGCACGCTTATTGGATATCGCGCGCGACGAACATCGCGCTGGTGTGCAGCTGGCATCACTGTTATTGGTACATTCTTTTAGATCATCCAATAGCAGTGAGCGCTCACGGATCCGCTCCGCAACAGTTGAGTCTGTTGAACGCGACCACGGAGTAATAAGAGTAATAAGAAGGAGATCAAGCTCGAGAATAAATATGGGCTCGAAACACGGTTTCGGAAAACCCAATGAAAAATCAAGAAGATGTGATTTTAGCGCCTTCGTGGGAAAAGTTGGAAGTATTGACTGTCACGTGACATATATTTCGCTTTCTCTAACCTACTACATTTCGATGTGTTTCGATGTATTTTCCGACAGGCGCGCTCGGATCAGTTCTTCTATACAGCGTTTTTCCGACACCGTGTTTCGAGCCCATCTTTTTCATGGCCGACCGCTTGAGCTGATCTCCTTCTTATTACTTCGTGAACGCGACCATTGACTAATGCCTAGTTCATACTGGATGCGGTGGGCGATAAACGATGAGCAATATCCAATAAAAGCGTGCCGAAAACACTATTATATAAATTACACCGTACGCCTGTACATACATACACTGACTCCATAGGACTTCACCTTGATCGGATCAGTTTGAGGGTTAGGTTGTATATTAATCTTAAACGCTCATATGCAATTACTTATACTTTTTAATTTAAAAAATATATTAAAATTATTTTTATTAAAGATATTATGTTTTTATTTATATTATCAAAATTATATATGTTTGAATTGTGCACATAAAGAATGGAGTAAATCTGATTGGTTAACATTAATGTCTCCCACCCTCTGCCGCCATTATGCGCAATGAATCAGCGCATGCTCTGCTTTTTCGGGTCGATGTTGAGATGAGAACACCTCTCTCTCCTCCTCTAAACCTCTAGACTTCCTAGTCTATCCGTTTCCGTCCCGTCGGAGTCCTTGTCATCCATAGCGGCTCCAGTTCGCCGGTTCCTGTGGATCGAGTCCGTGGATTCGTTGTGCCGCGCCGAGCCACTGAGACACGTTGTTTCGTCGCTCGCGCGACAGCTAAATCGTACGAAGTACAAGTCCCCGACATCCAGGATTTCAGGTTGTTGGCAATTGACTAGACACACTGTGCTCCTGTATCTTCAAAGTCCAGCACAGCTTTGCCTGCCGACACAGAACGACACACGCTAAAATGTACAACGGATACTCGCAAGTTCAAAACAAGTATGTCTATTGATTAACTAACGTTTTTTAGCATTTTAGATTAATTTGTGTAACCTAGAAGCACCTAAGGCCTTGCTTCTCTACGAGTGCAAACTCGATTTTGCTGTTCAGCAGCCGCCATTTTAGCCAAAGCTTGTATAGTTGCTCCATTTTCTATTAAATTAAGTATCCGACGGATATTTGAGAAATCTGTGGCCGACGGATTTTACCTAATAAGTATTGAAAAAACACTTATAGAAATACGTTATTTATTGTTTTAGTAAGTCGATATATATGTGATGGTATCATATGAAAATCAAGTGTAACCAAGTAAAATACTTTTTTTTTAGATTATGATTTTATTAGCAGAGACATAAAATTATCTCATGATTTTGAAGAATATGTACAAATAGATCATTGAAAAATATTCTTGTATATTATATTTTGTTATTATAGATAAGGATGGATGTAGTTCAGCCAGTATATATATATGTAATTAGTTTCCAAGATGCATTTAAATATATAAGTGTTAGTTTCTGAGATACCCTGACATATTTAAATAATTATATATATAAGTTTAGTGTTAAACATACGTTGTATTTAAATAAATAAGTACCATGTAGATTAGAAACTTAGAGCATTATTCAAAAAAGTCTTAAAGCTGTCATACAATTAAAATGATCAAACTAGCGACATTAATATCTGTATTATTGAATCAGAAATGGGCCTTACATTTCTATATATTTAAATAATAAGAAAAGAGTACATTATTAAAAAAAAAAAGATCTGATGGCAGAAGGAATAATACAATTTTTCATGTGTTAAATATATGTAGATATTTAATATAATAGAATCCCAAAATTGAATTTTTACTAGAGCGATTAAAACCACACCGTCTGATTTCTGCCAATCCTGCATTTTATTTTCTTAATTTTTTTAATTCTGTGAAGATTTTAGCATAAAAATGTATAAATGTGTAAAATATAAATAATCCCTACATAGCGTACTTCAAATTTGACTGCGTTCAGAAGAAAAAGCAGCTTTGCAACTGTTGTAAAATTCTTGAATATGATTGGCTTATACATTTAGATCTAATGAGGAAATAAGGGCAAGACCAATCATATTAAAGAATTTTACAACAGTTGCAAAGCTGCTTTCTCTGCTGAACGCAGCCAATTCTCTTTACAATCATATTTCAATTTATGTGGAAAATGAATTCATTCTCTATAATTCCCTTATTTAATATTTAATATTTTTTTCTTTCTAAATATATTATATTTATTTTCAGAAATAAATAAATTTTTCAATACATTTTTTCCAACATGTTTTTTTTATGATTCCCAAAATTTATATTATGACTTCTTCTATTAAACCGCATTGTGTATACATAAAATAAATCCTTCTCATAGACAGACAGAATGGGCTAAATAAAATAAAAAGAAATCTTTCTACTACCTGTTTCATGATGTTTACAAATTAATGATGAATTAATTAATAAAGATCTATGAATGAATATGTGTTCATAATTACTGGATTGCGTGACTTAGAATTTTTAAAGAATTTTTTGTCTTTGAAAATTAGGGATATTTTTTTCATGGAATTTTATTAGGGGTCAATTATGTATTTTGGAACGAAGCGAAAATGACAAAAATAAGCAAATTCACTAGATTATTTATAATTTCATTGGTCAACATCTAGTGAATTTTGCTTACAATTGTAATTTTCATCTCGTTCCAATTTACACAATTGACCCCCAGAGTATTAATCATGTAACTTTTTATTTAGAGAGGAAATGTGAAAAATAAACATTTTTGTAGGATACAGGGACAAACCTTGTAAGTGTAAAATTTGTATGCATTTATATATATACACATACATATAAAAAACTTTCAAATTACGTTTCTTCCCTAGGGAAGAAGTTACATGATCGCTAAAGATGATGTTCAGATTTCCACTCGAGTGTTTTCTTGGTATCATGCCATCCTTCTTTAACGTTTGATAAACAAAGACAACAAGGGATCTGTTTTTTGTTCCTGCACTGTCTGAACTAGTGCACACGGTGCAATAAGTTAAAATTAAACAAACGTATATTTGTTTCACTTTAACTTATTGTACCGTGTGTACTAGTTCAAACAGTGCAGGAACAAAAAACATACGACCTAAGGATAAAGCAGAGAGAAACCTGAGAGAGAACATGAAGGCCTTTTTTTCTGTAAGAGCTGCGCAGAATAAAAGGAACAGGGAACAGAGAATAAGAATTTCAACCTATTAGAAATTATGTACTATGGAATACACACTGTTTATTCCACAGTATATGATTTCTGATAGGTTGAAATTCTTATGTAGGATTCACACTGCGTCCGATATCCAATAGGAGAGCTTGTTTTCTAGATATATAACTAACAATATTTTGTTGCATTTAGAAAGCAAGCTCTGCTATTGGATATCGTACCGTCGTACGTCGGATATTTGTTAGCTATATATATATTGGCTCCGCCCCCATGTCAGATTCCAATCTAGAATTTTTCTTTTCTACGGAAAAAAAATGGAAGGATTCTGATTGGTTGAATCTCTTGCGATTTTTGGAATATTCAAATGCTACAAGTTTTATTTTATCTTTCTTCTACATAAACTCTATCTTTACGTGATATAAGTTATAAAGTTTTGATTATTGTTCTTAGTTATGTTTTGTGCATCGTCTATGATACATGAAGTAAGAGAAGAGTAAGAAATTAATTATAATCACAGTCGATTATTCTTCTCAGATTCGACTATAGCCCATTCTATAATGGGCAGTAGCAGTAGTGGATTAAGGAGTAGACATAGAAATCGACCAATGATAATAAATTATCCTTCTCATATTCGACTATGATTTGTTGATTTTTACGCCTACTCCTTAATCCATTATTGCTACTTAATCCATTATTGCCCATTGTAGAATGGGCTTATGATTATTCAATTCTTTACTTTTACTTCTTATTCCATGTATTGTAGACGACGCATTTGAACGCACCCGAGTTGTAGAGCTGATATTAATTTGGTTGAACAAATAAAAGTGATTATATATATAGGAAATTATTTAAATCATGAATTAATTTAAAGATTTTTTTTATTTGTGCTTTTTGATGAAAGTTTCAATTATTAGTTACAGATCTAGAGGAAATCGAGATCATGGCAACCGCAATGGAGGGGTTAGCGGAACTTATTGGAACAGTCAGCAACAAAGTCAAAAAGAGTATGGCACAAAGAAGCAACAAAATCACAA